CTACTTGGGAGGCTGAGGCAAGAGAATCACTTAAGCCCAAGAGTTTGAGGTTGCTGTGAGCTATGACACCATGACACTCTACTTAGGGTGTGAGACTCTGTCTCAAAACAACAACAACAACAACAAAAAACAAGTGACAGTAGCTCATGACTGTAATCCTGTACTTTGTGAGACAGAGGCAGGAAGATTGCTTGAAGCTGGGAGTTTGAGACTAGCCAGGGAAACATAGCAAGACCCTTGTCTCTACAAAAAAGTAAATTAGCCAGACGTGCTGACATGTGCCTGTAATCTCAGCTACTCAGGAGGCTTAGGCGAGAGGATTTCTTGAGCTCAGGAGTTTGAGGTTGCTGTGGGCTATGATCATGCCATTGCACTCTTGCCTGAGCAATAGAGCAAGACCGTGACTCTAAAAAAAAAAGAAAAAGAGAAAGGTGATCTTAGCACTGATTGATTCCAGCAGTTTTAAAACCAGGCTGACCCTCCTAGAGGCATGAGGAGGCTTTAAAACAAAATATACAGGCTCGGCACCTGTGGCTCCAGTGGCAGAGGTGGCGGGATTGAATCTAGCCCAAGCCCACCAAACAATAATGACGCCTGCAACTAAAAAAATAGCTGGGCGGGCGGGCACCTGTGGTCCCAGCTACTTGGGAGGCTGAGGCAGGAGACTCACTTGAACCCAGGAGTTAGAGGTTGCTGTGAACTGTGGTGCCACAGCACTCTACCCAGGGGGACAGCTTGAGGCTCTGTCTCAAAAAAAAAAAATGTGTATATATATATATATATATATATACATTCATGGGACCCACCTCTGTAGATTCTGATCTAGTAGGCATGGAGTAGGATCTGAAAATTCATATTTTTACAAAACTCCTACAATGATTTCAAAAGTTATTATTTATTTATTTATTTATTTTTGGAGACAGAGTCTCAAGCTGTCACTCTGGGTAGAATGCCATGCTGTCACAGCCCACAGCAATCTCCAACTTGGGCTCAAGCAATCCTCTTGCCTTCGTTTTTCTGTTTTTAGTAGAGATGGGGTCTCACTTTTGCCCAGGCTGGTCTTAAACTTGTGAGCTCAAGCAATCCACATGTAAACCACTGTGCCTGACCCATAATTTTGATATTTAGTCAGGTTTGGGAATAGTTTCTGCTAATAGTGACTTGAAAAGATGGCTTTATGAGTAACTGTCCAAAGAGACACAATAAGAAAATTACACACAGGACAGGAATATCAGGGCTCCAACCTTAGACCAGCCTTGTTGGGGGCAAGTCTAGAGAAACAGAACTCAGGACTACATACAGCCAACTGTCTTTTGCTCACATACAGTTTTGGTAAATTTGCTGGAAATTTCTAACTTGTTCAACTGAAAAGAGTGGGGGGAGAGAGAGAAAATTTCTTCCTGTCCTAAAATCTTTCATTAAAAATGTATGTATTCTCGGCGCCTATAGCTCAACCGGCTAAGGCGCCAGCCACGTACACCTAAGGTGACGGGTTCGAATCCCCAGCCCGGACCCGCCAAACAACAATGACG